GAGGTTCAGAAACGTGTCCAAGTACAATAACCCACAGAGAACACAGACGGAAGATCTGTGTCTACAGTCACTGATCAGGAAGGACTGAAAGACTCATGCAGAGGGGGCTTCAGCTCATGCCCCAAACGTCCAAGTGAACAGTACCGTCCTGTGGTACTGTGTGTGTGTACACAAAGATTACATGGAACTGGGAGCACGCTCCATGGCGGGGACGAGCCGTGCAGGGGATCTGGAAGGCAAGGAGGTCTAGGAGTGAAAATCAGGTCGCCTGGTGACTGGGACATCCTGAGCAAAGTCAGTTCCCAGAACTTCCTTGAGGAAGCAGAGCTCCCAGTCACTTTCTGGAGTCTTGGGGAGCCATGGAAGCCCCGTGATGGCTGTCCTTCCATCCCTCTCTGCCAGTGGACTTGACCCTGAGTCCTCGCTCAGGCTACCTGGGCTCCATCCACCAGGCTCTTGGGGAGGTCGTGCCCGGTCTGTCTGCAGAGGCAGGTGATGCGAGCCCCAGGTGGAGGAGGGCGCCCCGGCCCTGCTTGGCCCCCAGCCCCATCCGAGGAAGCAGCCCAGACCTCTCAGCCTGAGTCTGCTGACCTCTGCCTGGAGAGGAGTGGAGATGGAGCGGATCCCTGCTTCGAAGGGCTACTAGAGGGACCCGATGAGTTAGTGCGTGTAAAGCATGTGACCAGTGCCCGGCACTTCCTAAGTTGCCACAAGCCCTGCTTGGCAAGGAGGAAGCCCCAGCTGGCCAGGTGCCCATTGGACAGAGTTGGGGACAACAGAAAGGGCCCCTGGCACTGCCCCCCAGCAGTGACTCCCAGAACAAGCCACTTCAGTTTCCTCCTTCAGTTGCCACCGTCAGCATGCAGCCGCCTCCCCGGAGAGGTGGGAGACCAGACACCGTGGAGGTGCTGTCCCTGAGAGGCCTGGAGGCTCCAGAGTGCTGCACCAAGCTTTACTGCTGCTCCTGCCTGCGGATGTGCAGGAGGCTCCTGTGTGCTCCCTGCGCCGTCTTTCCTTGCCCCGCATCCATAGCCCAGCTGCATCCATAGCCCATCCATTCTCTTGGGACGCGCATGAGGAAGTAAAGGAGACACTCTTAATTTTTTACACGGAGGCACGGATTTCCGCGTGTTGACGTTAGGTGGTTCCGCTCCTAGACTCCCCAGAGAGTCCCAAGTGTGTGTCCTTAGGCCGGGGGAGGGGCTAGACCCAGAACTACAGGGCTCCCCCAACTCGGGGGGCAATCCTCAGGAGGAAAGGCCAGGCGGGGAGGACCGCCGGCAGGATTTGAGGGGAGCCGAGCTTGGGAAGAGGAAGCCCCCTTCACTCAGTCTGAGCCCTGAGTCACGGGCAGCTGGACTGTCATGCTGTGCCCTGCCCCCTGTGCCCAGGGGGGGAGAGGCTGCACCCTATCCAGTCACTGCCTCTCCCTCCGTCTCCTCTCGCCCTGGCCTCGCCCCTCGGCTGGCTCACTCTGTCTCCTGGGGTCTCAGGGCGAGGGGCGCTCGGGCTGTTGCCCGCTCCCCCGCCCCAGTGCAGGAGCCCCTCGCGGTGCAGCTGCAGCCTCCACGTTCCCAGAATGCCAGTCGGTCAGTACTGCCCCCAGCTTGGGTCCTGGGTTCGTGCTCTGGTTTCTCATCGCAAAGTGACAAACCAGAACTAATGGAAGTCACTGCCACGAGGGAGAGGCCTGAGCCCTGAGGCAGGGGCGGGGAGGTGGTGGCCGCAGAAGCTGCCCTGGAACGCTCCTTTCTCAGCGCTGTCAGAGCAGGAGGCCATGTGAGCAGAGCTCCTGGCTTCCTCTGGACAGGAGGTCCTCCCTGTAACGCCCTCCCCTCACCCAGACACACGGGGACCCGCAGTGTTAATTAGCAGCCGGAAAATAATAGCCCGTTGGCCGCTGGCCGGTGACACCAGCGTGGCTGGTGACACCAAGGTGGCCGGTGACACCAACGTGGCTGTGGGAGGTGGCTCTTCAGGCTCCTCTTCCCTCCCCCCTCCAACTCCTTCCCTAACCCTAACCTCTGCCCCTGCCCTCGTGCTCCCAGCACCCGAGGAAAGTTCTGAAGGGGAACTGCTAACAAAAGGGCCTCCGCATTTGGGTTTCCCAGACGGGGCCTCCCCGGGGCTGGGCTGCACCAAGGGTAATCAAACTGAGGCCAGGGCTTCCCTGGTGGCGCAGTGCTTGAGAGTCCGCCTGCCGATGCAGGAGACGCGGGTTCGTGCCCCGTTTCGGGAAGATCCCACATGCCGCGGAGCGGCTGGGCCCGTGAGCCATGGCCGCTGAGCCTGCGCGTCCGGAGCCTGTGCTCCGCAAATGGGAGAGGCCACAACAGTGAGAGGCCCGCATAACGCAAGGAAAAAAAAAAAAAAAACTGAGGCCAGATGCCCAGCTTGGGGAGCCCCCCCCCCCACACCCCCGGCCTCGTAATCCCAGGGCCCTGTGCACAAGACGGGGCTTGCAGGAGGTCAGGAGGCCGGAGTTGGCTGTGAGGCATGAAACAGGGGAGCCAGGGCAGGGGCTCGGGGGTGGGGACGGGCTGTGGTTTGGAGAGATTGAAACGGCACCAACCCAAGTCGAGATGACTCCCTGGAGGTCCTTCCTTGGTAGTTGGGGACCCATGATAGAGTCAGTGGGTTTTCCTGTTTGGGGGGAGATTGAGGGTGAGGCTGTCCAGGGTAGCTGGGAAGAAGTCTGGCTGTTAACCAGTCTCTAATCTATACAAAAGGTTTATCCAGGTTTTTGTTACTTTCATTTTAATTAGGATTAACTTACAGGGAAGTGCACATCCCTAAGTGTACACCTCAATACGTGTGTGTGTGTGTGTGTGTGTGTGTGTGTGTGTGTGTGTGTGTGTGTGTGTGTGAGACACCATCCCAGTCAAAGTGTATTCCTGACCCCCCAGGAGGCTCCATCCCACTTGATTCCCTCCCAAAGGTAGTTACTATTCGGACCTCTGTCACTACAGATGAGTTTCTCTGACTTTGCATCTTACGTCAGTTAAACCACACAGTCTCTGCTGTGTCATCTGGCTTGTTTCCTCCACCCATTACATCTGTGAGATTCTCGCACATCACTGGCTGTCGCCGCAGTTGACTTTTCATAACTGCGTCGTATTCCATCGTGTGGCTCCAATCCCTGTTATCTGTCCGATCTCTTGTTGGACATTTCAGTTGTTTCTGGTGTTTGGCTATTACCGCAGCGTTAGGCTGCTGTGAACATTCTTGCATGTATCTTGTGGGGGACATGAGCCCTCCTTTCTGCCAGGTGAATATACAGGAGTGGGGTTGCTGGCTCTTGGGGTATATGCACACTGCACAGTGGTTTGCAACTTGTGAATGGGCTCCTGGGCTTTAGCAGAGGGGCCTCAGGCCTGCGAGGGGGTAGCCAGGACAAAGCTTGGCATTTACGTCCACCCCTCAGTCAGAGGCGCTCTGCTAAGTGAGTCTGAAGAAAAGGTTAAGCTAATATAAACAGTTTGAGAAAGTCTGTTGACACTAATCAGGGTTTCCCCAACTTCAATGGGATACAGATCTCTTGGGATCATCTCTTGGTGCAGTTCTGATTCACTGGGTCCAGGGTGGGGCTTGAGAAGGTGTGTTCTGCATTTCAGAAGATGTCGACGCCCCAGGGTTGGCGATTCGCTTCCAATAGAGGCTCTAAACACCCCCTTCTTCCCCTTGGCCTGGGGCTACAGGGCCTCCAGTGAGGGGCGCCTTCCTCGCCCTCCACTCCCCGGCTGGGGGCCGGCTAGTGGCAGCTTCTTTCACCGTCTCACCAGGCCAGCCTTCTGGCACGGTCCATGGGACAGGCCCAGTGGCCCTGGCCCGGGAGCCCCAGCGCCTGCCACCCAGGAGGGCTTCCGCAGGGGCGTGTGGTCAGGTCCACTGGGCTTTCCCAGCTACCTGGAGGAGGAGGGCTTACCACCCACGCTGCTGAGTCGGGGGTCGGGGAGCAAGTTCCTGGCAGTACGTAAGACATATTTATCCCAGGTGGAGGCGAAAGCCACACTTCGTCACATCCACCCTGAGCCATCTCTCCTGTCCTCTTCTGGGCTGTCCCCACCGCTTTGGCCATTTGTCCGTGAGGCTCAGAAACCCGTCGGTCCAGGTGACCAGCTGAGCAGGTCAGGCCAGGGGTCTGCAGGCCGCCCCAAGCCCTCACGGGCCCGAGCAGCTGAGTGGGCTCAGTAGACACCCTCTCCCCTGTGAGGCTCTGCCCACCCCCTTCCAAGACGACCCCGGGCCTCGGGACTGCAGACCCCAGCCTCTGTGTTCAGAGCTGTCTCCTGGTGGCACATGCTCCTGCCTGAGCCTTGTCTCCCCCTTAGCCCAGAAGGGCCCCAGTGTCCCCCCGACTCTGCTCATCACCCTGCCCCAACAGCCCAGACTGGAGCGCTGGGGGTTCTGGGCTGGGAACGACTCGGGGCATGTGGTCAGCAGGGCGAGGCTGTCAACTCAGGAGCCTGACTTAGAGCCAGGTCCAGCCCTGGCTGGCGGCCACCAGTCCTGGTGCCATCTGGCGTCCATCTGGCTGAATCAAGAGATTGGAAGGCAAGGAGTAGGGGGGCTCTGGGCCTCCTGACAGATAGTGGCTCCTTCTGTAGGACCCTGAGTTGCTCGGCGGGCCTGAGACGGCATTTCCTCCCCACTTCAGAATTCCGGGCTTTGCTGCCACAATTGGCATCTAGGGGTCACCGTCCCTTTCAAGATGTGATGAGAGGGACGCCCCAGGTGCATCTCCTGACATCTCCCCTCTCCCCCAGCGCAGAGTTGGCCTCTGGTTGAGGATTTACCCCAATACCTGGAACAAGGCTCCGTGGGGCACATCCGCCAGGGCATCCCTTCCCCGCCCTGCGACAGGCCCCACTCAGCTTCTGAGACACCCCGCCCAGCCCTGTGTCCTCCAGGAGGCCTTGGATGCTCTGATCCCACGGACGTCCGTCTCCTTGTCTCCCTCAGTCACACAGAGCACTGCCCACAGACCTCACTGTCTGGGGATGATTCCTGCCTTGTCTCTTGAGCAGCTCAGAGCATCCATCAGACAATGCCTGGTCCGCACCTGCATCCAGGTGTGTAAGCCCCGGACCTGGGGGCCAGGCTTGAGCCATCCCTCCTTCCACCACTCGTCTCGTGTCCTCCCCCACCCACACCTGAGCTCCTCTGCCCCCACTCCCCGCCCAGCCCAAGGGCAGGGCGCTTACCAACACCCCTGCCACCCACGGGACCGAGTGCTGACCCCAGGCCTCTCCCTCCTCAGTCGCTGCTGTTCCTGGGGCTGGTGGCCGCCGTCGGGTTGGGCCTGAACCTCGTCTTCCTCGCGGCTTACCTGGTGTGTGTGTGCTGCTCCCTGCAGAACAGTGCGGTGCAAACCAAGCGTCGCCACCCCTGCTGCATCACCTGGACGGCTGTGGTGGCTGGGCTCGTCTGCTGGTGAGTGTCCCTCTGCGCCGGGCCCGGCGTGTGCGCTCGGGCGGGGGGTGGCAGGGGTCTCCGTGTGAGGCTGCGAGGCGGACACAGCGGAAGAAAAGTGGGCCTGACCATCTGGGTCTTGCCAGTGGTCAGCCTGATGACAAGGACACGCCTTCCTCGCCCTCCACTTCCCGCACCACCCCACCCCGCCACCAGCAAACCCCAAGTGGCTCCTCAGCTGTCTGGCCACATTCTCCTGCCTGAGCTCCGGGTACCTGGATGGGAGGGCCTGTCTCCAGGGTGAAAGCTGTGCCTTTTCTCGCCAAACAGTGGGAATCAGATGTCCTGGATGGCAAGGGGAGGCTCCCGAGCATCCCTAGCTCCTGCCCCAGGGTGGGCCTCTCCAGCCTGGCAGCAAGCTCCCTGAGCAGTTGACCGGCGACAGCTCTGCTCTCTGCGTCCTGTCCCCTCCCAGCAGCTGCCCGGGGTCTGCCATCAAAGTCTGACTCCAGTCCAGATCAATGCCATCTTCTCACAAGATCAGTAGCTCTTAGCGCCATCAGCTGGGTCTTCTTTGCTTCGGATGGTGAAGTGAGGCTTTCTAACTGTGTGTCAGAGCCACGCTGCCCAGGCAGTGTACACACACACGCGGGCCTTGTGTTCACCAGTTGTATTTTTCTTGTTTTTGTATCTACAGAGGTTTTTCCAAAAGCCTCAGTTCCTCCTGAAATGCTCCGGGGGGTGGTCCTGGCCAAGGGGTGGAATGCCTCATGGCTAATTGTCCATCGTATCCAAGAACCCACAGCACTGTCTCGGCAGCAGGACAAGAGGCAGATGGGGCTCATCCCTAGCGGCTCACCTCATCCCCAGGGCTTTCTTCTCCATTAGATCACGTTCAAGGTCCCATCCTGCATGCAGTGTCAGGGCATCTAAGCCAAAAGATAGGCAAGAACTCAAAGCAGCTTTGCAGGGGTGACAAAGCACCAAACACGTGGAAGGGAACCAGGGCTGGGTGAGACATGCGGCCGGGGCTTAAATCATAAACTTAAAGGAGAGAGGTTGAGCCGTGGTCACAAGTTCAAAGACAAATATGACTCCTAGCAGAAAGGAGCCTCCTGCAAAGTACCTGGTATTAAACAGCCTCCTCCTGAGAGTAAGGTGTGCAGGGCGGGCAGGGAGAGACAGGATGGAGACGGCCAAAGAAACCAGCAGTGCTTGCTACGCAGGCAGCCCTCTCTCCTATGAACTCAGATTTTTCTGAAAAAAATACTGCAAATGACAGAAGAATACTTTGGAACAGTAAGAATGACTTTGGAGGGTCAATTCCAATAAGTAATCCTTACCTGCCGCTTAAGGAAAACTCAAAACGGGAGTGTATGTGGCACAGCTTCTCTTCAGAATTCTCCAGGTTACCTGTGCCAGGCACGAGGGAGCTGGCGAAAAGAAAAACAGCCACCAGTTCTGCCTTCTTGTAGCTCTCGGTCTGTTGGGAGAGACAGAGGATCATATGCTTGTTTGATTTGAGTACTTATGAATTAAAGGGTAATTTTGGAGACAAGGCATAGGCGTGAAGTTGGATGACCCACTCGAGTCGGGTGTTAACTGGGTGACAAGGGCACCAAGACCAACAGGATGAGGAGGCGTGAACTAGGCAAAGGTGGGGGCAAGCTGGGAGGAGATACTTCCATGCAGAGGGAATTGGAGCCTCCTGCAAAGTACCTGGTATTAAACAGCCTCCTCCTGAGAGTAAGGTGTGCAGGGCGGGCAGGGAGAGACAGGATGGAGACGGCCAAAGAAACCAGCAGTGCTTGCTACGCAGGCAGCAAGGCAAAGGCCCTGTGGTGGGGGCGAGAGGGGAGCAAACCTTTTTTTTTTTAAATTTATGTTATTAAAGTATAGTTGATTTTCAATGTTGTATTAATTTCTGCTGTACAACAAAGTGATTCAGTTATTCTTTTTCATATTCTTTTCCATTATGGTTTATCCCAGGATATTGAATAGAGTTCCCTGTGCTACACAGTTGGACCTTGTTGTTTATCCATTCTGTATATAATACTTTGCATCTGCTCACCTCAAACCCCCAATCCATCCCTCCCCCACCTCACCTTCCCCTTGGCAACCACAAGTCTATTCTTTGTGAGTCTATTTCTGTTTCATAGATAAGTTCATTTGTGTCATATTTTAGATTATTCCACATATTAGCGCTATCGTATGGTGTTTGTCTTTCTCTGTCTGACTTACTTCAGTTAGTATGATCATCTCTAGGTCCATCCATGTTGCTGCAGATGGCGTTATTTCGTTCTGTTTTATGGCTGAGTAATATTCCATTGTGTATATGCACCACATCTTCTTTATCCATTCATCTGTCGATGGACATTTAGGTTGTTTCCATGTCTTGACTACTGTGACTACTGCAGCTATGAAAATAGGGGTGCGTGTATCTTTTTGAATTATAGTTTCGTCCGGGTATATGCCCAGGAGTGGGATGCACAAAGCTTTTAAGGCACTGAGAGAAGCCAGTGTGGCTGGAGCAGAGGGGCGGGCGAGGGGGCTGGGGTAGGGGTGCAGCAGGGTGGGGGATGGGCAGTAAGCGCAGGGGAGGCCCACAGTTACCTTCACTGGAGTTGTACTCAGATTGGAGCCCAATTGGAGTGAGTTGAGGGAGAGAAGCGGGGAGCGGGGGGGGGGGCAACAAAAGCAGGAGAAGGGATACGAGGTGAGGCTGGGGGGATTCAGAGGCAGGGGTCTTGCTGAGCTCTGACAGCAAAGGATCCCGGAGAAGAGGGGAGATTCAATCCGTAGAAGAAAGAATGAACAAGGCAAAGGGGATATGAGGAGAATTCCCAGAGTGCACCTCTCTTTGGGAGTGATTTAACATTTGATTAAGAGAGCGGTGCTGTTATACCAGAGAGGGGCAGCACCACAGACTTGTGTCAGAAGACCAGGTGCAATTACACAGCCCCTCCTGAACCATCATCTCTGATAAATCCATAGACCATGAGAAGACGCAAAAGTAGAATCCTCCGTTGAAAACAGGGAAAGGGAGAGCTAAAAGGATGGGAGAGCATTGGCTTGAGGCCGAGCCCCCAGAAAACACTGGATCATGACACAGAGAACTAGCAGAGAAAGTTAGAAACACAAGGAGCAAACGAAAGGTATTTTTCAGAGCAGACTGAAATTTAAAAGATGAAGTGACTAAAGAGAAGCTCATAGAAATACAATACATTTAATGTATGAATATTTCTGCATTTGACCAAGGTCCTCCCAGTATCCCTGCGGATGCTGTATTTACAGATTGTGTGGTGGTGCGGTTAAGTGGATTCAAAGCTGGTTGAACAATTCTGGTTGAATGCAAAGAATACTGATTTACTCATGGGTTCACCAAACCGTAGCTGGTGCGTGCATGCGTGCGTGCGTCAGACACGCGAAGCAGATAGGAACCTTGTTTTAAAATGCACATACTCAGACCATACTGGTAACAAATGGGTGCGGTGTGCCCCCCGCCCCCCCCCCCAACCTACGCTTTTAACAGGTGATTCTGTCCTGTGGTCCATGGACCGCTTTCTGAGAAACACTGAATTGGGGGTCAAGGGCACCCTGGAAGGAGGTTTCTATAACAGTCTCCCAGGGGATTCCATCCCAGGTCCTGCCCTGTTTAAAGAAAAAGGGTAAAAGCGTTTGCACATGCGCCTTCATCTTTCCCCTGCAAAATCAACGTTTTGGATGAAAACTCATGGAGGCTGTTTAATGAATCTTGAGAGGACCCCCAGTGGTGTGAGTCAGAGAAAGTATGATCAGTGACAGAGGCAAGACTTCAGATGATTTGTTCAGGCTGGAATGTTGGACTAAAACCAACTAGATGAAATTTCACAGGGATGGATTTAAAGTTCCGCTTTTATTTAAAACAAAACAAAAAGCAATACGGCACTAGAGAAAGAAGGAACGCCTGGGCTTAGCGGCAGTTCCTGGGGAGAAATCCAGGGATATTAATGGACCACAAGGTCAGTGACAGGGAGGGAGGACCCCAGGGCATTAGCCGCCTGTGCTCGGGGCTGGAGGGACCAGCTGGGCTTGGGTGCTTCACTCAGAGGCCACGTTTAAGGGTGACATGGACTGATTAGAGAGAGTTGAACCAAAGGATGATGTAGACCAGGGTCTGGAGGACACATCTGACTCGTAGAGCAGAAAAGGGGTGACACGGAGCCCCATTCAGATGTCTGACAGGGTGCCTTGCAGAATTGGAGGCTTATTCCAGTCTGGCCCCAAGGACAGCCAGGAGCCAGCAGGTACGTGATTTGAGGTGGTAGGCTTTAGCTCAACCTAACTCAACCTAAGAAGGGACTTTCTAGAAGCCAGAACATTTCAGTAGGACAGATGCCTCGTGGGTGGTGTGGGGAAGTGGAGGGGAAAGGATAGAGAATGGAGGGGGCATCCCCAGCCCTTGGAGGGTTTGGGAGAGGTGAGTGTGATTTCATGAGACCTCAGTGGTCCCCAAGCCCACGTGTGTCAGAGTCACCTGGGGAGCTGGCAAAGGTACGAGTTCCTGAGCCCCTCCCAGACCTACTGTAGCACCAAAATCCCTAGGGCCCGGCCAGCAATCTTCCACCCTTCAGAGCCCCGGGACTGGAGAACAGGAGTATTTTCTTGTTGGCTGAATGAAATGTGCTGCAGAGCTAGTTGGCCAGGCCAGAGACCGCTGCCCCAGAACCTTCTTCCCTCCCCCGGCCAGCCCACCTGCCAGAACTCTAGACCACCCCCTCTCCCCTACCCCCAGGAAAGAGTTCCTCAGCTAAAGTCAAAAACCCGCTCTCATGGATGTTTAAAGGCGCTTTCATCATAATTGCCAAAACCTAGAAGCAACCGAGAAGCCCTTCAGTAGGTGAATGGCTAAATTGTGTTCATCCAAACAATGGAATATTATTCAGCGCTTAAAAAAAGAAAAATGAGCTATCAAGCCATGAAAAAACATGGAGGAATCTTAAATACATATTACTAAGTGAAAGAAGCCCGTCTGAAAAGGCTACGTACTGTAGGATTCCAACCATATGACATTCTGGAAAAGGCAAACCTATGGAGACAGTAAAAAGATCAGTGGTTGGCAGGGGTTAGGGATGAGGGAGGGATGGACGGGCAGACCACAGAGGATCTTAAGGGCAGTGATATTACTCTGTATGATTCTCTAATGGCGGATACATTTGTCCAAACCCATAAGATTGTACTACGACACCAAGAGTGACCCTAATGTAAACTGTGGACTTTGGGTGATAATGACGTGTCCATGTAGGTTCAACAGTTGTAACAATTGTCCCATTCTGGCGGGGGCTGTTGACGGCTGGGGAGGCTGTCTAGGCGTGTGAGGCACCACAGGGTATACGGGAAATTGCTGTACTTTCCATTCAGTTTCATTGTGAAGTCAAAACGGCGCTAAAAAATAGTATACTAACAAAATTTCTCCTCTGGGTGTCACCTCTAACTTTGGGGTCTTGCCCATAGTGCTGCGGTGGGCGTTGGTTTCTATGGAAACAGCGAGGCCAACGACGGGGTGTACCAGCTGATCTACTCCCTGGACAATGCCAACCACACCTTCTCTGGGATCGATGTGCTGGTAAGGTCGCGGGCAGCCGGTGAGGTCAGCGTGGTGGGAACGAGAGCCCCAGTCAGAGCCCAGCCAGCTCGGCTCCAAGGGGGCCGGACTCCCCTTGGGGCTGCCAGTTGGTCCCGCCAGGAGCCAACCGGCAATTTCTGCTCCCCAGGCTGGGGGGCGGGGGGCACAGGGGGCAGGGGTAGGAGTGAGGACCAAAGAAGAAAGGCTGCGGGGTCCTGGGGGCCAGGACGGCTGTGGGATCAAAGCCCGTCCATCTTCAGCAGAGCTGAGCACTGTGCCATTTGTTCAAGAGGCCCCTGAATGTGGACAGTCAGCCCCGCGGTGTTTTCTGTGTTCACTTTCAGTGCTGGGTGTAGAGTATGGTGGGTGGCATCCAGGAGATGTCAACACTCTTCAAAAACAAGTGAAGAGCCCCAAACCCCGCAAGGTGTCCTCCGGGCTCTGGTTTCCAGGCGCCGTGACTCCAGCTGGGGGCTAAGGGTGAAGGATGTGCTGGGCTGGCCAGAGGAGAGGTAGGAGTTTTTGCCCAAGGAAGAGGTCCACTTGCTGAGCCTCGAGGGCGGGGAGAGTCAGGGTCTTCAAAAAAAGGTAGCCCATGGCCCCCAGTGCTTGTCACTTTCTCTCTGGAACCACTGGCTCTTTCCAGCTGATTTCCCAGCAGCCCCTGGTGCCCTAGGAGCCAGGCTCCAGGGCAGTTTTCAGAAATGCCAGTCCTGTCCTCCAACACCTCTGGGCCAGTTCCCCAGTAGAGGGGTGACCTCAGCAAATGAGCAGTTGTGTCAGGCAGCCTCAGCCGCACAATCCAGCCCCGACCGGAGCCTGTGGACCTCATTTCATCCTGCTGCTGCTTCAGGAGGATTCGACCTCAGTGCCCCTCCTGTCCCTTAAGCTCCTCTCAGGCCTTAATCCCCCAGCCTGGCTCCTCCCAGGAGGGACTCCCTTAAAGAGACAGCTGTGCTGCTCCTTGGGGGTGTGGCTGGGTGCTGGGTGCCGTGGCTCTGGCCTCAGAGAGGGTCCTTCTGGGGAGCCGAGGGTCACACACCAGAGCTGAGCTCACCCAACCACCCCCTGTGTCCACTGGGACCCATCCCTGGGGACTGAGAGCTGTCTGGACACTGGGCTGGAGCAGCTCTAATGGGGCGAGGATGGGGCGGCTGGGATGGGGGAGCTGAGGGACCGAACGCCGCCTGACCATCACTGGGTGGGGCCTGGGGGGAGCTCTGGGGACTGCCTGGGGACCCCCGCCCTCCCCTCTGCCCTGGTGGGGAAGGGGCTCCACCCACCAGCACAGAACCACTGGAGGAAGAGCCCGCCCCTGAAGGAGAATCCCTTTCCCGGGAAGCCCCAGAGCCATGACCTTCACTGGCTGACTTGTGACCATTGTAAGGAATGGCCCGTGGCTCCCCAGGGCTGAGGAAGAAAGTCCCAGAGCCGCCCTGATGGGAAGATTCAAGCTTTTCATGTCCATATCCCCCATAGATGAGCTGGGCCCGAGACCCCCAGGCTGGGCCCATCCACCCCATCTGAGAGCTCCCCAGGGCCAGGGGTGGACGTTGTGCATCAGACCCCAGGACTCTAAATGCCCCCGTGTTCCTGAAGGGAAGGGTTCCGTCTGTCTCTGGCGGTCAGCCCCTCATCCTCTCTCCACCATTTCTGAAAAGTGAAGGCAGGCGTCCCAGGCTCTGGTGATGGTCCAGCCGGCCAGGAGCTGCTTGGGTCCAGATGGCCACCTCCTGTGTTGACCTGCGTCCTTGGCTGGGCCTATGGGGCTGGTTTGGGCCTCAGGTGGGCACCCAACACTCCCAGTCCCAAGGGCTCCAGGGGAGGCAGCAGATCTTAGAGGGCTCCCCCAGAAATATCAGATAAATGATGTTAGATGAGATAATGCCCATGAAAGTGCCTGGTAATCTACAAAAAACGCTCCACATTGGGAGGGGGGACCCTATGCTAATGGTGCCATTATTATAATTACTGTAATTGTGTATATTACTATAATCACCACGAAAGAGAGAGGAGGCTTGGACTGGGGGGCGGTGGCACTCAGGAGACAAGTCAGGCGACTAAGACCTGGGCCAGAGCGAGGTGGGCCCTCCCAGGCTCCCCTTCCCAGACCAGAAGCCCCAGGCCTGCGCCCGTCCTCCCTGAGAGAGCCCTGTGCCTCGGTGGGCGGCGGGAGGGTCCTGGATCAGCTGCACACTGTGATTGGGGGGGGGGGTCACAAAGGGTCATTTGGGAGTGCCAGGTGGGTCCTTTCTCTGGATCCAGTGCCCCCGATCTGGGCCCCAGTGACTCACTCAGGGCATCTTGCACACCTCTAACCCACTGGGGTCTCAGCTTAAAACCAGGGCCTTGGGCTGTACAGCCCCTGGGAGCTCAGGTGGCTCGAGTTTGATCCACATGTTCTGGTGGCCACTGAGGCTCCTCTGGGTTCTCCTTTGCATTGGCATCGGGCCTGTGGGCAGCCCTGGGGAAGGAACTGGGCACAGAGAGGTCGTGTTGCTGCTCCAGGGTAGGGAGCTAGTATGTGTTAGAGCGAGTACTGGAACCCCGGGGTCTGGTCTTAGCCTTTCCCTTCAAGGCTGAGATGGGGGCCCTGCCCCCGGTCTGCCAAGCCTCCACCCCTTCATCCCCTGCCTGTCTAGAAAACCTCATCAACTCCCTCTCTAAGAGGGAGCTTCCTCCGTCTCAGAGATTTTCAAACTTGAGCTTGCATCAGAATCCCCTGGAGGGCTTGATAAACACAGATGGGGGGGCCCACCCCAGACTTTCCAATTCTGTAGGTCTGGGACCAGGCTGAGAATCTGCATTTATAACGAGTTCCCAGCTGATAACACCGATGCTGCAGGTCCAGGGGCCACAGCTGGAGAACCACGGCTCCATCCTCTGGGGCAAGTTTCCTCTACCACCTGCTAGCTCGCCCCTGACCCCACCCCAGCCTGGGGAGCTGAGCCGGCCCCCCCGATTCCCCGTGGGAGTGCCTGCCTGATCCACCTCTGAGTGTCCCCATCGCCATCTCCCTGTGGGGAGCTCTGTGCTGAACCTCTAAGGACTGGAGGTGCAGTGGGGAAGCCGGGGGGGTGTAAGTAGGTCAACGCTGTGATTTTAATTTTTTCTATTTTGTTTCGTTTCCTATGGGAAGACATCAGGAGGAAAGAGAGGGCCTGGCTTTCGTTTTTCATTCCAAGGAGGAATTTAAGAAATAGAGAAGTTAACCATGTAGAGCTATGGAAGGGGGAAAAAAGTGGTCTTACAGGGAAAGTTTACAGAGCACTTTTTTTTTTTTTTTGGCAGTACCACAAGGCTTGCGGGATCTTAGTTCCCCGACCAGGGATTGAACCCACGGCCCTCAGCAGTGAAAGCGCAGAGTCCTAACCACTGGACCGCCAGGGAACTCCCATACTGGGTCATTTTTCTCTTCCTTCCAGACCTGGGGGAGCTGAAGGCTGCCTGGAGGAATAGCACACACTCCCCGCTTGCAGCCAGTTGTGCTTGTTGGTGCAGCGTGACAGTTCCAGAGCAACGAAGCCCTTCTTCCCCTCGTGCTGACACCCAGGCTCAGAACGGGCTTGGCAGGGAGGTGCTTGGGGTTCCCAGGCTGGGTCTCCAGCCCCTGCCGGGACCCTGCATCTGGGCTGTCGAGAGGCACCTTTCTAATTCTTGTGGTCCTTGTTCGCAGGCCCAGGAGAGTCACCTCCATTCACCTTCCCTCTCTACCTCTGAGCATAAAGATGCTTCCTTCAGGCTCTGCTCAGCTCCAGGCAGGACAAACGTGGGGCGGGGGAGGGGGACAAGCACAGAGAAGGCGCCGATTTCCTCCTCCTGTCACGTGTCCCGGCTGCTCGGAGGCAGGATCCCGTCTGCCTGTATTATTTCAGAGTTCCATTGTTCTGCCCTTGCTGGGGGCGGGG